CTGAGGCGGAAGGATTGCCGGAGCCCAGCAGATCGAGGCTGTGGTGGCTGGGAGCGGCCATTGCACTCCAGTCTGGGCGACAGAGTGAGATTCCAACTCAAAAAAAAAAATAGGCCACTGACTGTTTCTTTAGCTGATTGGTTCATTGACTGGGTCATTGAATACACGTCCAAAAGATTTGAACTTCCTTGAGAAAAAAACTAAACCCCAGTAGTACTGAGCGGGCCATCGCCTTGTGAGACCATGGTGTCACCATGCGTCCTGGCTTTGGCTCCCTTCCCCACCTTGGGGAGGTGAATCTTCTCTCTCTCTAATTTACTTTTAATTAAACTATATTTTCTCATCTAAAAAAAAAAAAATAGCACTGAGCAACTATCTCCCTATACCTTATGCTTAACCAAGAGTGCCCCAAATGGGATTACTTCAATTAATCACCAAGGCATCTTTAAATATCTATTTACTAATGTCTTTTAAGTCCTGGATTCAAATGCCTCTAAATTTTAAAAGTGAATATAATGCTAAGAAAAGTGCAATCAACTGTATACCGAAAAGTGTGAATATTACTTGTGTAAACTATACCCCTAACACACTGAACAACAGTACAATGGAAAAGTAATCACAACAGCTACCATTATTTTGAACTACCATGCCATGGTTTAAAAGTTGTATGCACATCATTTGATTCCCCCAATGAGTTGAGAATTATTGTTATCTCCATCTTACTGATGAAGAGAATTTGAGTCACTTGCTTAAGTTCACACTGTTGTTAAAAACTGGAGTCTGGACTCAACTCAAGTTTGGGCATCAGAGGTTTTTATTTCCATCTTAACAGTTTGCATTTGAGTTAAGTAGATCTCTCGGCCGCCACATTACGAGGTGTTGCTTCTAATATGTCTTTCCCTTTGTAGGGACCAGCATGAGCGACCTTCTGCTCTCCAGCTCCTGAAGCACTCCTTCTTGAAGAGAAGTCACTGAACATACAGCCAGACTTTCTACCCAGTTCCACCGCAGATGCTCCCTTACTGCTTGATTGTGGGGAATGATGGTTAAGGGACCTGTTTTCCTACTGGAAACTCAATCTAACCCAGTTTAACCAAATCCCACAGTGCCACTAACCCAGTGTTTTCGTTATCACATTAGTGTCCTCAGCTTCAGGCATGATTATTCAAGTATATGGAAGAAAATTTACTTAAAACAGTAACAACAAAAAAAAACTTATTCCAGTGGTTACAGTTTTGATTGTCCAAGGAACTACCACCTCTATTGCTTTATATCGATTTCAATTTTAGCCTGTCCTGTCAATCTTAATGTCAGTTTAAAATAAATTGTAAAAACAGCTTATATTTTCTTGGTGAGTAAAGACACAGTTCTTGCAAAGGAAAGAAAGGCAAGGAGGTAAGTTAAAGGCGATGCTAGATTCTGTTTACTTTGTCAGCAATCTTAACCTTCAAGATTCTAGGAGATGAGGGGTCTAACAGGAGGAGGTCAAGGCCTTGATATTTTGTTATCAGAGCACCCTTGAACTCCTGTGGTCTTCAAGAAGTTGGGCTAGTCAGGGTGGTGCCATAAGCCTCAGGCTGCTTTCCCTGGAATTTACTTGTATGATTTGAGGTCTTTACCTATTTACAGAGTGAATTAGGCCATCACCGCATTTCCTACTGAGCCTAAACCCCCTGACAGGACAAAAGCCAGGTCTGATAAGGGGAGACTGGGTCAGCACGTGAACTTTTCCAGAGACCTTTGCTTACTTCACCTGAATGTTTATCCCCACTGAGGTCATTCTTCCCATCATTTCCAGAACATTGGCAAACCTCACATAAGTGAGCATGGACAAGAGTGATTAGAATTACAAGCCTCTTAATGTTGGCGGACTAAGCATTTTTGATAAGGTTTCTATTGTTGTTTACTTCACTTAGCTAGCTACCAAATTTCATTGACACCTATTATTTTAAGGTATATCCACAGATTCTTTTTAAACATTTCTTAAAAAGAGATGGAGGTCTTGCTACATTGCCCAGGCTAGATTTGAACTCCTGGGCTCAAGCAATCTTTCCTCCTAAGCTGCTTTAGTCTTTATGAAACAAACAGTAAAATGCATTCTAGGTGATACAGAAACAGATTTTACTTTGACCAATACGTAACATGAGAATTTATGGGTATATTTCCTTTCTCTCAAATTTGTATGTCTTTTCATATTTGATTAAGAATTTAAGGGATGAATATGTTCTTTATTTTACTTACTTGTTTATCAACATGATCAGAAACATAACTTTTAAAAAGATAGGGCTTAATTTTTTTTCCATCTTGGAGGAAAACTAAAGCAGCAACTTGGATTTGAGAAAGCTTGATACTAGTGTTAGAATACACTTAAGCTAATTTGTGGCCAGGCTCGGTGGCTCAGCCTATAATCCCAGCACTTTGGGAGGCCGAGGTGAGTGGA